TGATATTTTTTCTGTTGTTTTTCAGAGAGAGTGGGGGGCGGGGGGGAGAGACAGACATTGACCCGAGAGAGACACCTCGATGGGGTGCCTCCCGCACGCGGGGATCGAGCCTGCAATCGGGATACGTGCCCTCTGTCGGGAATCGAACCCAAGACCCTTCAGCCTGAGGGCCAAGGCAGGAGCCGTCGGGGCAAACCGGGCGGGGCCGTTGATCGAATTTCTTACCCATCTAAAGGTCCCGCCCCGTCTCTCGCCCCGTTTTCCCGTGAGGGTCGCGTTGTCCTCGGCACCCGTAAGGCCCGTGAGGGGCCCCTGGGACGGCGGATTCCTCCACAGGCTTCCTGCACCCCGAGGAGGGCGCCTGGACCTCCGCGTGCACTTCTGGGCGGCTTCCTGTGGACCCAGAATTATTCCAAGGCCGAAGGGGGGAGGCTCCAGGCCATGGAATTTGAAAAATCCAGCGAAATGAAAACATTGATAGAAAATGAAAAATGGATCAGACGGACCCGAGAAGAAGTCGAATTAAGACTCTCACAAGCTTGCAAGTGGTCCTGGCGGATGCAGGACACCGACGGAGGGCCCCCCGGGGGGACCCCGAAGGAAGCCGGCAGCCCAGGGCTCCGCAGTTTGAAACGACAGCCATTGGTTATCTCCCAGTTCCTGCGGGCCGGGAGCCCGCGGGGGCCTCGGTGCCGGGTCCTCAGCTCGGGGTCCCTCATGGGACAAGCCCCAGGCCCTCGCTGGGTGTCGCCTGGAGGCCACCTGGGTTCCTTGCCCCGTGGGCCCGTCCGCGCACAGGGCAGCTTTCCGTGGGCCAGCGCGCGAGGGACGGGATGAGTGGAGGGGAGCGGGCCTCTCGCCGCCTGGCGAGGGGCTCCCATCAGTTTGACCGTATCTGGTCATTCGAGTGGGGACCAGGCCCAGCCCTAGAGGAGGGGAGGCGTCCACGTGACGTCCACGGACTGCTGCTGAGTGGCAAAGAAGAGCCAAACTCACCGTGGCAATACCGGCGGTCACCCAGGGAGCACGTAACGTGGCACCACGTGGAAGTGGCCTCCAGGGACCTCAGGCACCTGACCCGGGCCCTGAGCCCCTGACAGAGATCATGGGGGGCAGGG